TATGTAGAAGAAGACGTCGAGATATAGTCAGTGATAGGAAGGTTGTATTTCTTTCCAATGAGTTTTGCAGCCTATTTATTTAATAATTCTAGTATTCGTTTGGAATTTATTCTCGCAATTTAATACGAGAATTTCTTTCTTCAGTCTTGTCCAGAAGATATATTTTCCTATTAAATATCGAATACATTCCGCAGTTTATTGAGGTAAAAATATTGCAATCTTCGGCCGTTGACTGTAGGTCGCGTTGCTCACAGGTGTGTGGTACAAAAATGATGATGTCGTTTATAATCTCCGTCATAATTATGTTTCAACTAGATAATTAATAAATTATTAAAATAATGAATTTTAATTGCAAATTGTCGAGATAACCTCGAGCGTGAGTTGCATCGTTTACGTGGGCTTCGGCGTTGAGCGGACGACAACTCGATTAATAGGAAGTCGCGAATCGTTTATACGAAAAGTTTGCGCCCGCCTTCTTCTTACGTCAAAGCCCTTCGCAACTCGCGACGAGCTGTTGTTCCCGTGGAACAACAGTCCCATGATTTATCACCGGCGTATTTTCCAAACCGCTTGCACGCGCTTGCTGCGCATACACCACGTGCGGTGACGCGGATAACAGGTGACGCGCGCGATGTGTACGCAACGCGGATCGAATTGCAACGTTTTAGCATAACGACCCGCGCTCTCGTTCAGCGTCACGCTGTATGTATATGTGCACGGGTGTGTGCGTGTGCATGTATTCGAGGTGCTACCCCATACATTCTACTTCACTCGCCCTCATCTCGCGAAACCTCCGCGGGAGGAGGAGGAGAAAGAGGAAGTTTGCACCGAGGATTATCGGCGCGATGAGAACGATTCCCGTCGGCTCGAACGGAGTCGCGAATTCGAGCGAGTAAACTCGATCAAGAGAGAAGGTCAACCATCGAGAATCTCGTAGAGATCGAGAGGGCGGTGGTCGTGTGTCCTCGTGTCACGAGGATGCGCGAAAGTCGAGTTTGACGGGGAACTTCCACGCGTAACGAGTTATATTAAGGAAGACGGGAGCGAAAGTTCTGCACGTCGTTGTGCGTCGCGGTCACCGACGCATTTCTTCCAGGCGATAATAACTGATAACGTACGCATCGGTCAGTCGAGCCAGGCGACTTGATTACGATGTGATTCGCGATAACGTAGATAGCGAACGATCAATTCACGAGGGTGAACTGGAAGAGCGTCCGTCAAACCGAAAGCCGTCGACCAACCTCATTACCGCGTGAAAAGTTTCTCTCTCTTTCGCTCCATTTCCGCGCGTTCCTCAACTTCTCTCGAGTTCCCGCCAAATGACATGAGAGCGCTTATGGAAATCTTTGACTTACAACTTAATTGTATTGTTTTGATTCAATGATTTCTCAATCATTTAATTAAGGTACTAGTCCTTTTAAGGAGTTTTATGAAACTTTCCGTTACAAACTCCGTAAGAGAATTTTAACGGCGATTTATAATAATTTGTTATTTTTGCGACTGCAGCTTTCGTATTATAAAAATGATGACGGAAGCAGAAAATTCGTGATACCGATGCTAATAAGAGTAATTTACAATCAGTACACGCAACTTTGATTTCTCCTGACATCTCGGCACAAGTAGAGAGCACATCTCACTTTGAAGGAAGCGCTATCGGTTCATCGCCAGGGCGGAATTTGAATATCAAGAGCCGTCTCCCCTGTTCCCTCTCTACGCCGATACTTTTAATCCCTCAGATCTCCCGTGAATCCCCCAATTTCGGATATTTTCCTTACATTATGATAATGATATTCAAATGGCATTCGCGCAACGTAATCATACGTTTGTCGCACGACGGAATAATTCATCGGGTGCCTATCACAACCCCTACGCGCCGCTTACGTGTCGGCTCGCTTCGTCCCTCGAAGACCGCGCGAACGAAGGGTAACGCGCTCGTAATTGTGCTTAAAAAATTCGTCACGTTCTCGCGAGTTTCGGAAGATTGCGAGATAAAAAGGGAGGAAACGCAAGAGAACGATCTTATCTGCTCGTCCTGTTCCATCAACCAGCCCGGGGTGCAATTTGACGGTCTACCGACCGCGATTTTACAACTTATACCAAGAGGGTCTATTACACTGTAAACTCGTCGTCTCGCGCGAACCGGACAAAGAAAGAAAGGGAGAGAATAAATGAGTGAATGAGTGAATGAGTGAGAGAGAGAGAGAGAAGGAGAAGGGGAAAGATGATATAAAAGATTTGCCGGAGCGACGGGACTGACGTATCTCGGTTAAATGATCGATAAGCTATCCGCGGGAAGCGCGCGTTCTCGTATTTGCTCGCCGTCGAGAGAACTCGCGATACTCTTCGGCTCTCTTTCTCTCGTCGATCTCGGAGGAGAGAGAGCACACGCGTCGAGAAACATTTGCGAGGCAAAGCGTAAAACGCGCGGATTTGCAGGACGTTATCCCCGAAGTCGGGGATAGGGCACCGTGGATTAATCCTGGTAATCTCTCGGTACACGCGAAAGCTTGAGTAATCTCCGCGCCCGGGCCAGCGATCCGGTTCAAGTTGTCATTCTCGGGTTTACGGCGAAAGGTTGATTATTTCGCCGATTGTTCCACACCTCGGTGGATAGCGAGTGTAAGGATTCGCCGATTCTGATAAATTCGTGCAAATTTGTTGGGTCTAATCGCGACGGTTCACAGCACACGATTCGATCTGGAAGAAACAAGAGCGCTGCTAAGGCATTGTTAACTCCAATTATTTCGGAAAGACCCAAATATCTAAATCTCGCTCCAGACCAGTCCGAAATAGTACGAGGCCGAGAGTACACTCATACAGTTTCGTTTATGATCCTCGAGGGCTCCACAAAGTGAGATGTCTTATTTGGGGAGCAGGGAAAACCGTGGACAGTGGTTTCAATCTTAACTTTTACGAAAGAAAAAGAAACATGTTTTTTTTTTTCCGGCGAAGCGCCGATTACTGCAGATAGCGTTATACTGTCGTCAATTCAGAGACAGTTAAGAATTCTAAAAAAAATCGCTTCTTAAAAGACGCGTTAATAAGAATATAGTTGGACTTGGTTAAATGGCATGAAAAGTATGCATGAGTATTCAGAGCGAGAGATTCGGAAAGGACGAAATAGGAAGCTGCGTACAAGTCGGCACGATAAGAAACTGAAGCGAATAATTTTTGCTCCCCGCCGCGGAAAATCGATTTTCAAATCGCATCTGCTGGAAATCCGCACGGCAGAATACACTTCTCTCGTTCGAAAAAGCTTCCGAATCGCGTCCGTGGATGTCATCTGTATGAAACGCGATCCCGCGTCCCAACTTTGGGGATCCTCGATCGTGAACTTTGTGAAAACGCGCAGTGGACGCAGGGTGCGCTTTAGTATTTCGCTTTGACTGCGAATCGCCGGATACAGTAAGCGCGGAGACCGAGAAGCTCCGTCAAGGGATATTTTCGCGGGGAGCGCAATTCGCGAACGCGACAACACGCGAAGATTACATTCAGGCGACGCGGTCCCTCTTTTTTGCCGCCCCCTGCCTCCGTCAGGGGGAGAATATTTCGCCACGAACGGAACTCGCGGGGACACGGGAGCGAACGTCTTGAATATAAACTGGGCTAGCTATACTGGGGTGGAACTGCCAGTCGCACCGTTGCCCGAAGGAAGTCACCCGAAGGGGGTTGACGAGGGTGGTTGCCGGACGGATGCACTATCCATTTTCGTCCGGGATTTGAATTTCAGCCGTTTCTCGAACCGCAAACTCTCGAAATCCGGAAGTGGAAGAGTCGACTCCTGAATCTAAATCCGCACGTTGCTGCCAGCAACGATTTCCTTCCTGCGAAGCGAGCCGGGACGCAGCGTACCGCTCCAGATTCCTCGGGCTAATGCGACGGGGAGGAAACCCCGAAGCGAAGAATCACGCCCGAAGTCCAATTCATTAGCGCGCTTTTCGCGACAGAGGATGTTCGATTTTACTTCCAATCATCCCGTATTTTCGCAGCCCCCGCGATTCGGCGGCGTGAATTTATGGAAGATACGTGACGAGATAGACAGAAATCTCTAAAATAAATTTCTATTATTCAATGGTGTTATTTTCAACGAACCGAGAATGGCACAGAATAGAAATCTCTGCCAAGTAGAATTTATAATACACCGGGGAAAAATTTTGCGATGTGATTTAGAAAATGTTTTCTAAGCCCTTGCAGAAATCATTAAATTCTTAAAGTAGAATCTTCATAATGTGTCTCTGCTTGTTCTCTTATCTAATGTAATGGCGTCGCAATTCTTTTTAAATTCTCCACTTATATAGGTATTCAAAATTCAGACAAAATGTAACGTTAAAAAATATCATTTTTCCGATAGAAATAAACCGCATATTCAGTTTCCGAGCTCGCGGCTTCAATTAAAATTCCCTGAACAAACTACGGAGAAATAGATATATCGATCGACGACGGACGTATTCAATTCGCGAGATGCATACACACGCACAACTGTTTGTTTTCAGGATAACTCGACGTAGCGCAGCTGCTGCTCGAAGATGCCGGCGTACAAATTGTCAAGGAGAACACGTGCGGATTCCTCGGTGAAATAAGCAGTCACGGATATCGGGAGCGGTAAAGCCGCTTATTCGGGGCCGACGGACTCGTTCGGACTTCCAAACTCGCGCGTGGTAGCCACGGTGAAACTTTTGTCGCACCTGTTGCATGACAGGTGTATTTTTGACGGATGCGCGCAAGACGCCTCGGCCATCGTGTATCATCGAATCGACACTCGAGCGGCGATCCTGTTCAACGAGAGTCGTCTTCGAGTCTTTTCGATGCCTCCTCGCATCTTCCTTGATCTCGGCTTGCGAGCTCGGAATCGCGATTTCGGAGTCGCGTGAGACGTCGACGGGCTGCGACGTGGCGCAGAAGAAACTCGTCGGAGGGGACACGACCCCTCTTTTAAGCTAATTGCAAAATGCGCGCACGATGGCCAAACGAAAGAGTTCGAAGATGGGCTCGCGTACACGGCGGCACGGGCAAACTTATCGCGAGTTGTGAGCGGCGCTGAAGAGAGAACGTCAAGATGGTGGACGTGCTCAATATAAGCAACGTCCCGAATATCTGCCTGCTGCCGGACGACATGGAGGATCCTCGCACGCCGGCTTTGAGAAGGATCAGTTACGGTATCGTGATGCCGACCATTTGTTGTCTCGGCATCATCGGCAACATCCTGAATCTCGTCGTTCTCACGAGGAGAAACATGCGCGGCGCCGCTTACATCTACATGAGAGGTGAGCGTTATTTGTCTTTTTCTACGAAGTCTCGCGAGTTTCGACGTTTCCGCGCGCCGAAAAAAAATTCCTCTCGTTCGTCTGCGAACTCCGAATTGAATGACTAAAATATGCCGCGAACTGAATTCGCGTGCAAATTTTTCTTCGGGATTTCCCATGCGGCGTCCTAAGAATATTATTGTAAGATTTATTATAAGATATTTCTTTTCTCGGGATAAAAACAACATGAAAGTTCGAAACGAGGCCGGACAAAATCGAATTATCGGCAACGCGAAAAGCATTATCTCGACGATACGGAAACGAGCTCAGGCTAACGAAAAATGAGTCTGAAGGCAGCCGTTCGCGTTGCCAACGTCTTTTTAGGCGGGCGAGAAGGCTAGGTTGCGCGCTGAAACAAGAGACGACGAGGAAGAGAGGAAGAAGGAGCGGCGCGCCATTAGCAAAGAATAATGTAACACCTTCCAATAAAGTTATTCCATATTTATGTAATATCGGGACAGGAGGCTCGATTGCATTACTTTCCACGGGCGGGTGCATTACCGGACGTGCCCGAGAGTGTCGCATGTTCAAGCACATCGTTAACGTGCGCGCGTCGCCACGTCGGCGATTATCCACAATTTTCCGCGATGAAGTATTCACTTCTCGTAGACTTTAACTTAATACTTTTACGCACAGATTGAAAAAGAGGATATATTAATATAATATAAGGGGAGACAAATATATGATTCCAATACATTTTTTAAATTCCAGTTACCTGGTGCTCAGATAACATTGTGTAGGAGAAACCAAAATGATACACTTTACGCAATATTTGTTCTCTCGTTGTAAATTGAACAATCATAAGCGCGCATGAGCACACGCTTTCATCGGCAGACTTACTTAAGAAAATTTTAAGCACCCTCGACCTTTTCTCGTTTTACTTCTCACTTTTGCTTGCGGAGAAAACACTCCGCCTGGGATCGCGCGAAGAGCGCGTTCGCATTTCGTATCCCGCAGAATCGCTCATCGAGGTATTCTTTGAAAGCACGGGAAACTCGACCGTTACAAAACCGGCACAAAATTGACGGGCTGACTTCTCGGCCGGAAAAAGACGGACATTACTCTCGATTAGCCTCGCGATCGTTACGCTTTCATTCATTTTTCACCGTTTCACTGAAAGCTCATCGCCAGCTATCAATATTAATTGTGGTCTCGACGAACAACAACGCGATAGGGCACGTGCGCGTGACGGAGATCCGTTCGGAAATACACGTGCCGGAGCACATTGCGGAGAGCGTTTTCAGCCTGTCCAGAGTTAAACTGGGCGGCGGATCTCGTCTTACTCCAAAAATAAACAGCGAAATTCCGCTTGGTAATTAACACCGGCGATCCGGGTTAAATTTTCCCCAGTGGCGCGCTTCTATCGAAAATGTGAGCAGCTATGTGCGATGTGATATTTCAATATCGGTTATTACTTAATAATAATAATAATGTTGATTAATCGAGGGAACAGACTATTAAACGGTAGTTTCATCACGTGGTTGAAATTCGGTGCGATATTCGAACAAAAAAAAAAACATCTTTCCTTAAGTTTAACCTCAGGAAAAAAACAAAAACATGTAAAATAATAATAAAATTGTGCAAAATGTGTCAATAATAACATAATTAAACAAGAAAACGGTAAAGATCGCGCGCGCGGGCGAACATTCATGCAGATAAAATTCCTACCTGGTGGCTTGTGCAAACAAACGACAGTGTCGTCTAGTCGTTAGTAAACATTTTTCGAACAAGGTGGCAATAGCACTGTCTCACTCTGTACATACATCATTCAAAATTGAGACTAATTTTTCAGGACGTGAATACATGATTTCACATAGCGAAAGCGTTAACGACGACTGGAATTTGCTCGTCGAACGTTGCACGCGCGTGCAGCACCGACGCGATTTCGTCAGCCGCCGCGCCTTGCTTACAACCAATAAACATCGGGCGTGCGTTCTCTTTGGCAACGACGCGAAAACATCGCCAAATAGACCGACATTTTGGCCACAAGGCCAAAACAATCGCGATTTTCCGCGAGCCTCCAACCAAAATTCCAAGTGCATTACACGACGGTCGCCCCTCGACGGCTCGACAACTCGGCTTATTTTTTCGCGTCGCGCCATTGTTTGTGGCGCGGCCGGTGCCGCCCACGATTTCATCCATTAGCCACATATCGCCCTTAAGTATTAATAGCTTCGCAAAAGAACGATCCGTCGTAGTACTGTCATCGAACCTGTTGCCCCGCGCCGATAGGTGTCGAATAAATTATCCTAAGTGGATTAGCGGGGAATATGTTCGAAGCGAGAGTGGAATTAATTAACTTTGACAAGGCCGGGAACGTTACTTCCGATCGGAAATATCCCGATATTTCCCTGAAGAATGGCTACTTAATATGACTTACGTGTTCTATCAGGATCTACTTTAACACGTTGACTGCCAACTACGTGATATCTCGTAGGTTGTTTACTTGCCCAGGACGCCAACTACGAGTTATCTCGTCGCTTCATTACTTGATTAAATCAAATTGGCTTCTTAGACCAGAATCGTGAAAAGTTCCGTGGCAGTCAACGTGTTAATAACCGTGTCCGATTTCCACTTTTCGAAACAAAGAGAAACGATGGCGTTGCGCTTTTTAAGAACACACACCCCTGTGATCCCCCCCTGATCTTTCGCCGCGTCGAGGTCATGGAACGCAAACACGATAAAATACGCTCGCTCCCTCCCGAAACGGCTAATTTATTTTTCAATGCGGCGAGCACGGTGAAATTGAATCGCATACACACGGCACAGGATACGACAGTCGTTCTCGACGAAAGTCGAAGAGTTTCGAAAACAACAGGTTTTCGGCGTCGATTCGCATTCGCTCCCCGTATCCCGACAAGTTTTCTCCCTTCCCCTACCCACCCTCTTTTCTTTTTCCACATCTCTCTGTCTCTCTCATGACATCCTGCGGATGGAAAATTCGGCGGCTTTTGTGGCGCCGACATCTGCGCTCGTTTCCGGAGCAACAGAGCCAGTGTATTAGAGAGGAAATTACTGGGCAATTGGATTTTGGCACTTTCGTCGCGCCGCATCATTTCGACTGGGATCAGATTCACGACACTTCGGAGGACACGTCCCCGACAGTTTTGACCACCGGGTTCCTTAACACGTTCCATGCCGAGCCAATTTCACACGACTTTCCATTCAGGCCGCGTATGCCACTGGCGTTATGAACTTGGCGAGCCAGCCTGAAGGAAAAGTTCTGCGTGGGCCGCAAACGCGGAACGTGTTAAGGATTAGAGCCGCCAACGGTCGTAACACGTCGCCGCGTATATGTGCCTAGCCGCCGCTTAATTCGCAGCTAGAAAGCCGCGGAATATAGCCCCGAAGCTCTGTGCACACGGAATCGCGCCGTGATAGCGCAAATCCGATTCTAAGTGATTTATGCCGGCACTACTGCGAACTGCGAAAGAGCGCATTGTCTTGCGCGCGTGCTCGCTTCATTTGCCCGGTTCTACTCCGACCTTGAGCTAATTCTTTCGGAGCGCACGTGCTCCTTTCTATCTCGACACGCTGCACTTGTGAACTAACGCATAGAATTTAAATCTCTCGACCAGAGCGCGCTCTTCGAGTTCATCGACAATGAAGAACACGATATTCGCATGTCATTCCTGTTATTTATCAGGACAGAAAAATAACGAGATAATATTGTGATATACGGGATATCACACTTAATTGATAGTATAAATCGAAAAGGCGCGATAAACTGCACGAGGAGATAAGTCGAGGATGTAGGATTACATTTTCTGTTGTTCAAATAAATTGATGTTGAAAATTCACCGGGTACGTGAATTTCATTGTGTTTCGACTTAACGAATTTCGCAGTGGACTATCTTTGGAACAAGACAATTTCGTATATCAATGATCTGCGATACCTGTGTGAAACTACGTGAGAAGAATGTAAGCGCACGACAGTATCGCGTCGTATCAGATACGGAAATCTCTTTGTACGAATTCCGTTTCCGCGAGATCACTTCGTCCCGTCGCCGGGGAAGAAATCCGCCATGGAGAAGCCCGCGAATCCCGGTTTGTCGTTGATTCGATATCGATACTTGAGCGAGTTACCTCGGGAGGTAAGCTGGGCGCGAGAGATCGCGCGAAATTTCCGTTTTACTCGGTTTTCTCGCGCGAGGTGTTGCAAACGCAGCCTTAGGGGTTTACAGGATTAGAGGTCGACAGGGAAGAGCGAGACGGACCGGAGGGATATGGCAGGTCAACGTCGCTCGCTCACTCTGACGCGCTTGGAGCTTCTTCGAAAGGCTCTTACTCTCCTCTCTTGATTTCCTATAGCCGATACATATATATATATATATATGAGCGTGTATGTATTCCGGACTTTAATCGCTTCCCTCGAGTTTCCGCGGCACCGGGCTCAAACGTCCTTGATCCCGGTATCCATCAGGAAACTTGCCAAGCGGCGAGGGAACGCACCGACACACCTCTATCTCTTTCTCTCCCTCGAAAACTCCCATCTACTTTTATAATCGAGTTTATATCAAGATTAATGATTTAACTAACAGTCCGCGAGTATAACGGCTAATCAAACTCCATTCAGGAGTTCCGCTACAAACGCGCAACGGACGCACGGATGAACGAATGGAGTCGTCGCGGATTAATCGCAATTGTCCCGCAATGCGACGTGCAACTTCGTCGATTACAAATTTAATCGATTAGAATTATCCATGATAGGAAACGCTTCTTGTAATTATATTGAGTCTCCGAGTGAATAATCGTAAAATGGAGGATCCGTGCACGGAGAAAAAAAATTTTGGTTGCACCAAAAAGGGAACAACCATGTATATTTTGATGTACATAGTCTATGTTTCTTTTAGAAAAACACGCGTAACGCGTTCATTGAAGGAGAATCGCATTCAGAATATTCAGACTTAAAGAACTCGCACTAGTTGGAGGAGGACGAGAAACATTCTACATTTCGAATT